AAAATTTCCTAAACTCTCATATTTCAAAACTATTTCCAAAATATACAATCAAACAAACCAAAAAAATTTCTGAACTCTTTTCCCAAATTTTTTTCGAAAATTTCTTCGAAAAATTTATCGCTCAAAACCAAACCAAATAAGGTCATAAATTCTTCCTTACTTACCTATATTTCACTTACTCAACTTTGTTTTCTTATGTTTCAATATTGTTTTTCTTATAGACAAATGGCAAAAAAATCCAAAAAAATCCACCTATATCCCAATGTAATGAAACATTATAAGAAAACATAATGAATTAAAATAATTAATTAATTAGTTTCACCAACACAATAAGTTATAAAAAAAACACATCTTATAAAAATATCTTAAATGGTTATAAATATTGCTAAATAACTTAAAATCTAAAATACAAATAGATCAATATTGTCAACAACAAAAAAAAAACATACAAACAAATTGACGACAACCCACAACTTACCAGCAAAAGCTTTTCAAATATACTGCTGCTGTACTTAAGAGTTCCAAGGATTTAATGGGTCAAGCAGTGAAGCCAGTGTACAGTGTTTGTAGCAGATTCAGGTATAATCTCGCAATAGGTATGATTTGTTCTCCTAGAAATTTCCAACATCAGTGGTGCTGTGTTGGACCTCTATGCTCACCTCTTCATCAATTCGTGCCACCTGTACCGCGGCTGCTGAGGCAGTCGCTTCACACCACACTTGTTCCTAAAATCCTCACCAATTAAGAGGTGTAAATTGTTTAATTTGATTGCTGCAAATGACCAACAGTTTTATCAAAGAAACAGAAGAGGTATGCTTTGCTTCCCTTTCCATTTCCCAGTTGGTGTTAATTCTTGTTGGTAGTGTATCTGTTGCTGTTTTTTTGATCTATGGTTATAATTCTTGTTGCTTTTCATTCTCTTCCCCCTTGTCTAGCATGCCCACCATGTGTTCAACGATATGCTAAAATGAAACACACACATAAATTGACAATAAAAATGTCAAACTTCTTATCCACCATGTACTTTACAATATGGTTAAACAAATAAACACACAAAAAATGACAATCATAATGGGAAATTATTTTCCCAAATTTAAAAAAAGGCATATCAACAACAACTTCTATTCCAGCAGCAGAATTTTTCGCTTGTGCAAGAGGCCTTCTCGTTGTCATGGTCTGACGCCTAACCCAACATTTATAGTTTGCTGCAGGATCAGCCGCTACCTACTACATATTTTAAAACTATTTGAAAAAAAAAATAAAAATAAATACAAAGGGCTTACTCTCACCATCAAACTGGATCAATGCCTGACCACTTAGCTACTTTTGCCAAGTTTATCAAACAGCCAACACCAAGTACAATCCAAAAACAAACAAACAAATGTCACAATAAAGAGGAACCATTCTTAATCAAATGTAGCTTTTAAAAGCTTCTTGTATTAAATTTTAACTCTCTATTTTTTTTAATACATTTACTAAGGTTGCTTTTAAAACTTTCTTATATTAAATTTCTTTTAATACATTTACTCTATGTATTAAGAACCATGCTTTATACATTTACCCTATGAGGCATATAATCCTGAATTTTCTTTGGTTCTTTGGTTCTTGGATAGAGAGTAAAATGTCACAAATTCATTGCTGAACAAACTTGTGACACCATCTACAGGGCCTACACACAAGTAGGTCAATCACATTCTTAGCTGTTAACAAATTCTGTTATGCTATTGCCCAAATAATTTAACTAACACTTTTGTCATGCTTTCATAGTTGACCTAACTCTGCATATCACAGGTCCTCACAAAATCGCCAACATGGATAACACCAACTACACGCCCTTAAACATGAATTCAATATATAATTCATTACCAAACTACAACATTACCCAATATGACAATCATCACTACATCTTACAAACTGAAAATCAGCCCACATATCACTCCAGCACACATCTCTTGCACACCTAACCAACCACTTATATATCTCCAACCAATTATAACTATTACTCAAACATACCTACAACATCTTACTCAAACCCATACTATTATTACAATTTTGAAGCCTACTACACCTCTCCAAACATCACTATCTCCACATTGGAAAATACTAACAACCAACTATTACCCCGAATTTACTCATTGCACCAAACTTCCACCACATCATCAACCGACTTCACTGAGTAACAACAACTTGTATATTGGCAACCACCAAAAGAAGGATGGCTCAAATTAAATTTTGCTGCTGGAATCTATCCAACCAAAGAAGTTCCAGAACAAGTAGATGCCATTCGCTGAGGAATATTTCGAAACCATTAAGGAATTTGTATTTATGCTTTCAGAGACATAATACCAATGAAATCTGCAGAATATGCTGAAGCATCAGCTTTATGTCGTGGATTACAAATTGTAGCAGAAAATGAAAGGCCAAAGATATGGGCAGAACGTGATGCAAAATTCTTAAGCGAGACAATTCTACACAATATACAAAGAGATTATTGCAGCATCGTATGGAAACTCATAGGCAATATCCGAAGAAGAAAACAAAATTTCAAAGATTGTAAAATCACCTTCATTCGTAGAGAAGGCAACTCTGCAGCAAATGCATTATGCAACCACATCAAAGGAAAATATGAGAATTTCAAATACGATGACAAGACTTTACTACGCAAAATTAAAAATATTGTAGATAAAAAAAGACAAGGATATATCTATACACATTGTACATAATCACACTAACATAGAGTACTTCTTCTTCTTCTTCTTCTTCTTATCTTTTGTAAACAAATCCCCACTGTATGCCTACTATAATGTACAATGTTATGAAAAAAAACTACTATATGAACTGATATAACGAACATATATTTTTTTATAGGATGCAATCTTATCAGTAATTTGAACTTGCACAAAGTTCCATTTCACTATGTTAGAGTGATTATAAGATGCAATCTTATGACTCATAATAATTATTTTTTTATTATAAATATAGTAAGGTTTGGTTATAACCCATAATAGTGTTGAATATGCATCAATTCAACAGTTCAATTTTTTTGGGCCCTCCTTTAATCTAACAACAAAAAATTAAGATGCATATAATATGTCCTTCGCAAAAAACAATCCAGTCAACAATAATTGCAAGATTTTTTGCATAAATAGTGATCTTCACTAAATAACTCAAAACATAAGTTTATTTTTTGCCTCTCTTTCAAAAGAGCTATTTACCAAAATTATATGAAATAATTCTCTCAATATTTATCGATGATGAAGTAAATCCCAATGCTTGTGCTACAGTACAGGCCTTCTATGTTGCAGTTTAGCCTCTGTACCTCACTCTCCCATGGTTACATCTGTGTCAATTCGACAGCTACATACATACATGATTTTTAAAAACGTAACTATTTCTCTTTTAGAATTTTTGATTGAGGAACATAAAAGAGCTTGATAAATAATGATTAATAAAGAAATATGGAACACCACGACAAATTAAATAAAAGATCTAATTACATTTCATTTTTCAAATCCATAAACAAAATACAATTTTAAAAATATTTGTATTCAAACTATAGAATGACCCCCAAGCACAACGTGCGTGGGGGGCCAACTACTAGACAAAATGAAAATTTATAATATCATATATTTTATGATGCTTTCATTTGAAAAAAATTGTATTAATTAACCCAATCCAATCGAAATCATGTATTAGGCCCAGTCGTCGTTCAAAATGATGAAAAATTAAAGATTGTATAGACTTATATATACGCATGAACATTTATATATTTTGTGGATTCGCTATTTTCTCTTCTCAATAACCAAGCTGAGATTTTATTTAATTTTTGGGCATTATCACACCATCAAAATTGTTAAAATCGAGATCCTATATAGTATTGTTTTGGAGGTCTGCTGGATTAGATAATAGAATCGGATCGAAAATCGTAAGATTCTACTAAAATAATAAAAAAATATAATAATTTTTATATGACTAAATAGTATTATCAAAATGAATATAGAATGACTCAAAAAAAAGAAGGAAATATAGCAATTCAAGGTAGCATTCAAACATTTTTTCTAAAAAAAAGAAGTTGAAAACATAATTAAAAAAAATACCTACACTTACACACCATCGTCATTGTTTCTTAATAAAAAGAAGACAAACTAAATAAGGGTGGAACAAATAAAAGACTAAAATAAATCATCATGGTCACCGAAATTATCATCATTACTACAATCAACATTAATCATTTATATATATATATATATATTATAAATATAATCTATAAGTGTAAAATATTTCATATAATAATTATAATATAGGAAAAAGGACTATTAGAATATAAGTCTAAATAGAATATTAAAAAAAAAATTGAACTTTTGACCTTTAGTTTACTAAATGAGATTTATAAATAAATCTTCCTATATGGAACTTATTCTAATTTAGTTAAAAACTTATTAACATCAATTATATTTTTAGTAGCAAAAATGATTTGCTTGTTACTGTACAAGCAGTGCATCCGTGATATGCACGGAAATCAATTTTAGAAAAAAATTGGACATACTTTTTAGCTTAAAATATGTTGTTTGAATTTATTTTCTTAAGAATAAAGCAATTGAAAGAAGCATTCAAACATTTTTTTCTCAAAAAAAGAAGTCGAAAACATGATTAAAAAAAATACCAACACTTGCACACCATTGTCATTGTTTCTTAATGAAAAGAAGACGAACTAAATAAGGGTAGAACAAATAAAAGACTAAAATAAGTAATCATGGTCACCGAAATTATCATCATTGCTATAATCAACATTAATCATATATATATAAATATTATAAATATATATAATTGATTGGAAAAAAAGTTTTTTGGTTTTCATTCACACAAATAAATAAATAAATAAATAAAATATATATATATATATATATAATATATCAAACAGAAACAGAACTTGAAGGGAAGAAAAAGAAGTCGGAGACAGAGAAGGAGGATTCGAAGCGGAAAAGAGTCGAAGAAGACGAAGACAGAGGAGGAAGATTCGAAGAAAAAGAAGAGCAGCCAAGAAGGAGAAGAAGCAGCGAAGAAGAAGACAAAAAAGGAGCATACCTGGTTAGTAGTTACGCAAAATCTGAAGTTTGATGTCGAATTTCTCTTGCCCTAATCGCAGCTCAGAGTTTAGAGACTAAACACCCTTTTGTTTTTGGTTATATGCATTAATGTGGACACACAGTTATTGATTTGATTGGGATTATTTTGTATTACCTGATGCAGGGGAAAATGGGGAGTGATTTGAAGACATGGGTATCGGACAAGTTGATGTCACTCTTGGGATATTCTCAGCCTACAGTAGTTCAATATGTGATTGGGTTATGTTAGTTATATTTCCTTAACTTTCAAATTGCTACATACGATGCATTTACTTTTTTTAGCTGTGGAAGTATTTCAAGATTGGTATTCATAGATAGTGATTTCATGGCAGCAAAGACAACTTCGTCACCCTCTGACTTCGTGGGTAAGCTTGTGGATATTGGGTTGTCGGCCAGTACTGAAACACGTGCCTTTGCAGAAGAGATTTATGCAAAAGTTCCACGTAAAGCTTCAGGGATTAATGTAAGTTGTTGTTGTAGTATTGATATTTGCATAGACTTATGAGTTTGGAACCATTTACTTGCAAATTTTAAGAGAAAATTTATGCTAATTTTATTGAATATTGTTATTCTTGTTGGTGTGCATATCAGCTTTATCAGAAACAAGAACGAGAGGCAGCATTGCTAGTTAGGAAGCAGCAGACTTACACACTTTTGGAGGCTGATGATGAAGACAATGATGCTGGTGGTGGCAGTGGAAATGGTTCTTCTGTTCTTCCATCATCTCAGTCCAGAAAAGCGGATTCTCGCAAGAAACGTTTCAGGAAGAAGATTGAAAATCAGGAAGATGAAGATGATGAGGTACAGTGCTTATACTCTTGCTAATAAGATTTGGTTTTGTTGCTTATGGTAGGCTGCTGTATTGGTGCTGCTTGTAATGACTTTGTTCTTTTGTTTTGACTGAATGCAATGCTGCAGGTAGTTGCAAACAGTGAAGAAGAAAGACGGGTTAAAAGACGGACTTCTCAGGATGATGATGATGGTTCTGAGGTATTTTGTCAATATGATATTTTCATATTAGAGCAAATGGTTTTTGTTTTCAATTGCTTTTTCTTTTCCTAAAGAAACGAGAACTATGACATGGTGGGTAATGCAATCAGCTACAAAATCCTGACTAAAGGGAGTTGCTTTTGCAATATCTGCCTTTTTGCCTCTTTGTTAATTGGGTTCTTATGGTTCAGTTGTTGCTGGGTATTGCAGTAGCCTCCATACAAGGTTGATAATCTGCTGTTCAATCTTGAGTTGATCAAGCGAAAGCTTTATATGTGTCTTTTCCCCTCTCTCACCTTCTTAGGGCCTGACATGTCTTTTGTCTGCAGTCGGAGGAAGAACGATTGCGTGACCAAAGAGAGAGGGAGAAGTTAGAGCGCAACATCAAAGAGCGGGATGCAGCAGCAACAAGGAAGGTAAACTAGTTGGTCTGAACTAGAGCTCTGATTGCTTTTGTTTTTTCATATATTGTTATTTTGCGTAGTTATAACTACTGAAAGAATTCTCAATATATAGTCGGAGAATAATGTTTAATCCAAATTGAACATTTCTTTGTCTGTTACAAATGGCCTTATACTCATCCCTTTCTAATGACATTCTCCCTCTTTTTTTTAAATTTTGTTTTTATTAACAGCTAGCTGAGCCAAAATTAACACAGAGGGAGGAAGGTAAAATATCTTGATAATCATACATATGTTTTGTACATATTATATATATATATATATATATATTTATGGACACATGTAATTTTATCTGCCTTATTTTGATGCATGTAATTGCACAACAGAAGAAGCTGTTCGGAGATCTAATGCTTTGGAGGAAGATGACATTGGAGCTATAAGGTTTGTCATTTATCTTCCAACCCTATTCACTTTCTTGTTGCTATTTCTGGTGAGTGGTGATTTTTTTTTTGGATATGAAATTGCACTAGCATTGTAAAGTTTTGCGAAGTTCCTATTTTTCATTTTCTTTAATTTGTAAAATAATTAGACAACTTTTGGCTGGATTGGATGACAATGGCATTTCATAAGCACATTTTTGTGACTTTCCCCCCATCTTTTTTGGTTCTTTTTTCATATTGGACAACTTTTGTGAAGTTTGTTTGAATGTATTTATCATTACTTTGATCATGAAAAGAACGGTTATGTAGCATAGGCCAATTGATTTTGTGAGTATACAAAGCTTGGGAAATGCCTGTTGGGGATATCTGAAAAATGGATTTAGTGCTTGTGGGAAATGAATCTTTGGCATCCAGAGTTTAGAGCATTGCTACTTTCTTGCCAACCATTGAAGAGTTTAGAGCATTGAACATTGAGCATTTGTTGGGAACTTTTGATATATGTGATTAGTGGAAGGTTGAGGAAAACTTCTCTTTTATATAATCAGTTGCAGTAGAATTTCCTGAAATGGTGTTGGGCAATCCAAGTTTGTGACCAGTTGCTTATTTTGTGACATATCAAACAGATATTAAAGGAGAATATGGTAAAAAAAAAGTTGGTTAGGCAAGGATATGCTAAGGTTACATTTATTAGATTACTACAGAAGACATTAATTGTTGATGTGTGTTTTTGTGTCATGTTGTAAAAGCATACCCACTAGTACAGGGCTGCAAGGGGACTGTAACTGGAAACGGATTCTTACCTGCCCATTATAATAGCAAATTCTTGCTATTGATCTTGGCACACCTTCTCAATAATGTCAACATACTACACGACTAAATCCTTTTTTGCAATACTCCCTTCTTTGCCTCTTTGCTATATCTGTTTGACCTTGTTGGTGCTTCTATGTCACCTACCGAAGCCTATGCTTACTTTTGTTTCCATTCTCTTGTTTTCAGGAAAGTTTCAAGGCAAGAGTATTTGAAGAAAAGGGAGCAAAAGAAACTGGAGGAGCTCAGGTATGATAGGATGTCACATCGTAGTTTTATCTTCTTTATGTTTTAGTTTCTGTTCTACATGTAGATGTGTTTATATAGACTGTAGTGATTGTAACTTGTAAAACTTTCATAAAAAGATTTATCCAAAAAAAAAAAAACAAAAAATTCATAAAAAGATTCTCTCCTATGATTTTTTCATAAAAAGATTTTGTCTTATGTTTTTTTTTTTCGGTTTTAATTTTGCATCCATGTCTTGGTAATTTCAGAGATGATATAGAAGACGAGCAGTATCTATTTGATGGTGTAAAATTGACTGAAGCAGAATATCGTGAACTGAGGTAATTAGATCGTGCTTTTAGATATACTTCTTCACATTCTCCACAATTAGTTGGACTTATTCATATTGTCATTGATTTCTTGGTACCATGACATGTTATGAATAATTGATTGTTTTATGGAAGCTGTCCCCTGTCCAGCCCCCTTTTTGAAATAAAGCAAAGATATGTATAAGTAATTGCCTTTTTTTATGGATGAAAATGATTTCTTTCTTTGTTTTTGTTTTTGTTTTTGTAAGTGAATCTGTGCTTGTGTCAAGGAATGACAATAATTTCTCCTAAAGTGAGTTTGTGCTGGCTTTTTGAGTTTCTTGTGGTGATTTGATATGTCCTTGAATCCGTAAAGACAGTAAGTGCATCATTGGGAAATAGAAGGCATTTAATGACTAGTTTTTAGCACTCCAAATTTTTGGTTGTTCTGTTGCTGCTAACATTGCTGGTCGGGCTTTTGGCTCAGTGTGAGCTACTATGTGATTTATTTGCAAATGCTGCCACTTGTCTCCTTAATTAAATTTTCTTAGTAGAGTCCTGGTTTGATTACTGCTATTATCCCTAACAAGTTATATTTTGTCACTTGTCTCCTTAATTAAATTTTCTTAGTAGAGTCCTGGTTTGATTACTGCTATTATCCCTAACAAGTTATATTTTGTTTGTAAAAAATAATGTACAGAGAAAGAGAGAAAATAAATTGTATGTATTATTATTGCTTGATGTAATGTTATATGTTTTTTACACTCTGACAGATATAAGAAGGAAATATATGAGCTTGTGAAGAAGCGGTCTGAAGAGGCTGATAATATAGATGAGGTAATTTGTTTTCTCTATTTTGGTATCTATTTCAAGGTTTATTGGCAGATGCATCTTTGTTAATTCATTCTCTTGTTCTATTGTTTTTTACAACATTTTCTGCTTTTGTTGCTTAAATAATTTATTTTGTTCCTCCAATGTAGTATCTAAATAATTATATTGGCTGTTTGCTTTGGCTTAGTGTTATGGGGATGTATTTATTTATTTATTCATTTTTTCCCCTTGGGCTTAAAGGATTTCTCATTTATCCATGCTTTCATATCGTTTCCTATTCTCTTCCTTAGTATATCCCTTGTTAGTTGTCAAAAAACAGAAAAAAAAAAAGAAAGATAAAATTTGTGTGCCAACTGGCATGTGAATCCTGCACCCCCTTTCCTTTGGGAGTGACAAGTTAATAGCTGATGGTAATGCAGGGAAAGAAGTACAAAGGGTTGTCTGAAGTAAAAGATAATATAGCTGGACCTACTGTGCAGGATGTGAAGTTCGTGTTAGCATAGGAGTTCCAGATATTGAAGAAGGAATAAAGATCTAGAAAGCAATTGGGAAAGAACTGTTGGATGTTTATATTACATAAGACATTTGTGGATATGCAATGTAATCTAGTTTCATAAGTGGAATAAAAAAAGTAGAATGAGAAAAATACATTGCTACACAAGCGCTACTTTCTTATGGGTGATAGGCATTTGATTGGGAATGACATAAGTTAGTAGTTTCTATAAGGAGAAAATGGACTTTATTTTATAACGTTGGCCCTGTTTGGTAGGGGCTTATTTCCAGCTTATTTAAGCTTTTATCTTAATTTAAGCTATTTTGATGTGTTTGGTTTAGCTTAACAATACAGCTTATAATTTTTTGTAAGTCAAAAATCAACTTATTCTTTGAATGGGGGAGGAGAAGCTTAAGTTATAAGTCAAAAATCAGCTTATGTTTACAGCTATAAGCTGTTAAGTTATAAGTTATAATCACTTTCCCACAACTCTACCAAACGGGGCCATTGTTAGCCGCCTAGAAGTGATTATTGAAATTTGGAAAAGATTCAAGACTAAAGAGTATGAATTGGGTTCATAGCTCTTGAGGTTTAATCGATTGAGTTTTATACAATCTCGCTTTCTTCTATTCATATTTGCTGGTTGTTTCTCATTATTTTCCAGTGTCTCAAACTATTATTGTATTTTCCACCTTTCTTTTTTGGATTGCAGTATAGGATGCCGGAAGCCTATGATCAGGAAGGGATTGTAAACCAGGAGAAGAGATTTTCTGTTGCTCTGCAGCGTTACAGGTCAGTTACTTTCACAAGAAAAAGTCCAATAGATGATCACTGAAAACTGCAATGGTCACGCACGTATGACAACATACAACAGATACTGTTTCTTGGAAAATCATATTAATCTTGAATTCTAAGTCTTCCAGGGACACAAATGCTGGAGAAAAAATGAATCCATTTGCAGAACAAGAAGCATGGGAGGACCATCAGATTGGTAAATCTTGGTTAAAGTCTTTATGTTTTAAAACGCAGAATGAACCTTTCAATTTTCAGTGTTCTAATTATGGAGTGATCAATTTGCAGGAAAGGCAACCCTCAAATTTGGTTCGAAAGATAAAAAAAAATCTGATGATTATCAGTAAGGATTATTTTGGTTGCCATTGTATTTGCTTCATCTGTTGTATGCATAATGTTTTTTCTATGCATGATGACATGATATTTTGCGGTTCTTGTATTTTTTCTTGTATAGGTTTGTGTTTGAGAACCAGATTGATTTCATAAAGGCATCAGTGATGGATGGAGTCAATGTATGTATGGTAATTTTATTTTATTGTATATGAAAGTTGTTCTCAGTTTCTCACTGTAACATTTTACATACAGTTTCAAGATGAGTTGCTCACTGAGTCCCTTGAAGAATCTATGGCGAAATCAGCATTTGAGAAGCTTCAGGTATGCATTTATTCATTTCTAGTTTTTGGAAGAGGTTTAGGTAACTTTTTCTTATTCTGTCTCCACGGTGTAGACACAGCATTCATATTTGGGTTTATAAACTACTGGGAAAGCTATGGGATGCATGGGGTGACAAGTGGGTTGAGTGGAAAACCATTGCTCCATCGCCATGGGAGAAGCATAACAAACCAAACACCTTAAAGAAAATAATCTCCACGTTGGACACCAACACTATCCAGACACTTCTTGACTTGTGTTGAGCACACACCCAAACATGTCTTATATTTATTTTTATATTTTAGAGACGGACATGATTCGAAACTTAGGGACACACGTGTCCATCGCTTGAACACACACTAAAGTATGCAGAAAATAACTTGGGAGCCAATGACAAAAGAAAAAAAATTGTAGATTTACAGCTATTACTCCCGCCTCCTTTAGATTTTAGGAATTAATATTATGTTGCATTTTTTTTAAACTATCTTTGGATGAAATATATAAATATTGATATATATGACATACAATAAATATATAAAACTATATATTTTGCGTGTATCCTCAACACATCATGTTGGTGTGTCTATGTAGTATTTGTATAATGTTGCATGTTTGTGTCCTGTGCTTATTAGCTGAGAAGCTAAAAGAGTAAGTTTCCTAAAGAATCAGAATAATAGAAAGAACAAGTGGATGCATGGCAATTCAAAAGATAATATTGTTAAACATGGGGAAAAAAAGAGAATAATAATCTGTCAAAACTTTAAACAACAAATACATCCATGTTGTGGTAGCACAGTTTGTTGTGGATGGCTTCCTCAAAATTTAATGTTGGTGGAAGTTGTAGAATACTAATGACAATATTTGTTCTTTTAAATATAACTCTACTAGTTGGTAGATAATTGAAATGTTTTTTTTTTTTTTTTGAGCATCAACAACATTTCATTAAAAAAGAAAAGTGAAAGAGGACAAGAAGTCCTCATACAAAGAAAGAGAAAGAGAGAGCAAAACAAAAGCACAAAACTCCTAGCCCTAGGGATGGCAAACAACAGCCCAATCCCTAAAGATCAAGAACAAAGGGACTCTTTTAAAAGGAGGGGATACAAATGCCTAAAATGAAGCCAAATATTCCGCCTTGTCCCACAAAGCCTCTACACTTGCTTCCTTGCCATCAAAGATTCTAGCATTTCTCTCCAACCATATAGCCCAGAAAATAGCAAAAACAATGCTTGTTCACATTGTTTTGGCTCTCTTGGTTCTCCCAAACCCTTTAAACCTAATAAGAAGCATTTGAATGCAGTTCCGCGGAGCAATCCACTGCTCATCACATAAGCTGAAAAGACACTGCCATAATACACAAGCCACCGGGTAATGAAGGAATAGATGATTCGCTACCTCTAAGTTTCTCTTGCACATCACACACCATTGAGGGCAAAGAGAGTGATTAGGCCTTCTCCTTTGGAAAACATCATTAGTTGTGTCACCCTTTTGAGCCAAAGACCAATGAAAAACTTCACTTTATGAGGGACAACCATTATTAATATAAAAAGTAGCCTGCATACGTCGAACTAAGTATGTATGGCTTTGCTATCCAATCATAGTGTCAAAAAAATTAATGGGATTTGGAAACAAAAAGGGAGCACTTGTAATTCAGAAATGACACAATTAGAGGTTAGTAGGTCTAGCAAGGTTCTGAAAAGCAGTTGCGGTCGCTGTAACGGTGGCGGTGGCGCGGGCGCGGTTGCTGTTGCGGGATGTAAAGGTCGTAGCGTAACGGTTGCGGTAACCGGAACCGTGAATTTTTTTATTTTTCGCATAATTTGAAAAAAAGCTACCGATACACATTTTTTTTTTTCACGATCATATTTATTGGATTTTAAAATAAGTATGGATAAATTTTTGTAAATTTTTAAGTATGGTCTAATATATTTCATATTTTTAAATTACTATAAATTGAGTTTTTTACATTTTATTTTAATAATTAATGACTTTATATTATACAAAAAATCGATCACTAACTATTATATATAAGATAAATAATGACAAAAGTAAGAGAATAAATAAGAGTCTGAATACATATATATATATATATATATACATATTTTAGTCAAGCCAAATAGATAATGACCACACTTATTATTATTATTATTATCAAACAATATATAGATAGATACACACAAACAAAATGGTTAAGTGATAGCAGCTAAATAGAATAGTATAGGTCTTACAATTTCAACAAATCAATAACATGTTCTACATCTTCTCTCTTTTCTCTCTGTATCTCTTGCTCTTCCATCTTCCCTCTTTTCCCTCTATCCCTCTTTTCCCATTTTCAGTTTTTTTTTTTTTTCTCGTGTTTTTTTGTGTTTTTTTGAAAGAAGAGTTTGGAACCGTTACGTAATGATGCGTAACAAGCCGTTACGGTTGTTACGGTACCGTTACGACCGCTACGGCAGCCGCTACGGCCGTCACACCTATGAATCTCAATCACATTGTAAAAGCGGCCGTAACGGGTGGCGGTAACCACCACAACCGTTACGTAACGGTTACAGCCGCTTTTTAAAACCTTGAGGTCTAGTTTAGGCCCTCAATAATTTGTATTCTTATTGGGTCTCGTGATTGCTATTACAGCAAGATATGCAACAGTATCACAAAAGATGGAAAAATTCTAAGCAAAAAATGGTTGGGAATAGTTTTGAAGAGATAGATTTTGAGAACTGTTCTATATTGGATTTTCTGCAAAACAAAATCATAACAATGCGTAATAATCAGAAATTCAGGACTTTTCGTTGATTATTAGGCCTTTATGTGAAACAAAGACAATAAAAGCAGTAGATCTTATATCACAATTGATTGTTCACTGGTTAACATTTTGACCTTGAAATAGTTAGGAATAAATTGCAGTTCTAACCTGACTTTGGCCCTTTTGCTCCTTTAGGAGGACAGAAAAACTTTGCCTATCTATCGATATCGAGATGAGTTGCTTCAAGCAGTTCAAGATCATCAGGTCTTTTTAACATTTCTCCTTTGAATCTTGCATTTGTTTCTAATGTTTCAAAGTTTTTTTAAAAATTTAAATTCCGTGCATGCTTTTGATGAATTCTTTGACGTTTTGCCAAAAATTATCAATTTATTTGTTAGTCATTAGAATTTTGCTGGGTATTATTCTTACAAATTGTTTATGCAGGTTCTTGTTATTGTTGGAGAGACGGGCTCAGGAAAAACTACTCAAATACCACAATATCTACATGAGGCTGGGTACACGGAACGTGGAAAGGTAGGGACTCCCCCCTCTCAATGGTATTCTCTATTGGTAGATTGTCATGATTGAAAATATTGTATTTGCTGTTACTAATCAGCAGACTATTATTCACTTTTAAAATGTTGAATGATGTGATTTTCAGTGTTAACTGCGAGTTTAAGGTTTATTCTTCTAGTTGCTACTTAGATTTTTCATTGAATATTGAAATACTTGAATTAATTATTTAATTTTGAAAACTTGACACATCCTAAAACTTAACTCTTCTGGTACTTCCATTAAAATTAAGCCCCAACTGAATTTTATTCTCTAATTGGGCTATGCAATTAAATTAGGGAGAATAACCACTTGTCACTAAATCTCATATATCTTTTTTGGTCTTTAGGATTATTATGGTCCAGGTGGAGACCTGTGCTTGCTAAACTTGGAAATAATTGTTGGTTTGCCTGGGTTACAGAATCTTGTTTTTATTTTTTGCAGATTGGATGTACCCAGCCACGGCGAGTTGCTGCTATGAGCGTTGCTGCTCGAGTTTCTCAAGAAATGGGTGTCAAACTTGGTCATGAGGTCTGCATTTTGCTTTTATTTGATTATCTGTTTAGGACGGTCACTTTTCTTGTGGCTTTCTTGATATTAGTTATTCTAAGCTATTTGTAAGAAATAGATGTATTATTGATTGATTGTGTTGTATCTTTAACAATGTTAGAAGCTCCTTATATAGGAGAGGATTACAAACCTGAATAGGAAAGTAGCCGAAAGTAGCCGAACACTAACTTAAAGTAATGAATAATAAAGACAAGTACTAACCTACTAACATCATTACAAGCACTAATATACACTAACACTATTTGAGTGGTGCAAAATGAGTAGTTTAGATTGTCAAAATGAGATAGCATTGGATTCTTCAAGCAGTGGAAATCTGTATTTGTATTCCGACCTGGGCTGCTGCCAAATTTGGCATCGTGCAGCAATGATGATCTGGCATCTTAGAAATTTCTGTTATAAGATGTTGTAGATGAAGGATCAGATCAATCAGCCTAGGGCTGAAAAATTTAAACAATTATTCAATATATTGCCCAATTGTATCATAATTTTGCTCTGTCAATCTGGTTTCTGTGGCTATCAGTTTTCCACTTTTCCACTTTTAGATAGGTGACTGTAATAATTATCACCTTCACTTTCAGGTTGGTTACTCAATTCGTTTTGAAGATTGCACTTCAGATAAGACAGTTCTGAAATATATGACTGATGGTATGTTACTTCGGGAATTCCTTGGTGAACCTGATCTCGCAAGTTACAGGTATACTACACTTTAAAGCTTGTTACAGTGCAGTCTGTATCTTGTAACTGATGAACACATCCTTCTAATATTTTCAGTGTGGTGATGGTGGATGAGGCCCATGAAAGAACTCTCTCAACTGACATTTTGTTTGGTTTAGTTAAGGCAAGTGCTGACTCCTAGCATGCACGATAGAATTTTTGAAAAGTTTTTTGTTGAAGAAATCTAGAGGCATTGTCTGGTACACAATTGTGTTGTTTCACTATTTACAAGTTGCATTGCTAAGGAATTGAAGGAACCTTTTTCCTAAGGCTTAGTATGTTTAGAATGAAATAGGTAGAAAATGAAAGAAAGAGAAAAATTTTACTTCTATGAGTTTGTTAAGCTTGAAAGTGGTGGAAAGTATGAGAAAACTAATTTTCTTGTACAACCCATATTAGCATTGTAACTAATTTTTTATTTCTTGCCAGAAAACACAAGAAAAATTGAATGTGTGAGTTGTCTATAACTAAACTTTTAGATTTTTCTATATTTTTCTTACTAAATTTTCATCTTAATCAAATGCTTGCAAGAAAATATATTTTCTTTTCTATTTCTTTTCTTTCACTTTATTTTCTTTAACTTTCACTTCCTACCAATTTTCTTTCTAATCAAATGGAGCCTAAGGAATTGAAGGATGCCTCATTCATTTTAAGCTACTAGGAGTTCTTGTCCTTTTTTGTTATTTGTCTGACTCGATTGCTTTCTTGTGATAGGATATTTCACGGTTTCGTCCTGATCTCAAGTTGCTCATCTCCAGTGCAACTCTCGATGCCGAGAAGTTCAGTGATTATTTCGATTCTGCTCCAATTTTTAAAATCCCTGGCAGAAGGTTTCCTGTTGAGATACACTACACAAAAGCACCAGAAGCTGATTACTTGGATGCAGCCATTGTCACTGCCCTTCAGATTCACGTGACACAAGAACCCGGTGATGGTGATATATTGGTCTTCCTCACCGGACAAGAGGAAATTGAAACGGCAGAGGAGATACTAAAACATAGGACAAGAGGGCTTGGTACTAAAATTCCGGAGCTCATTATATGCCCTATTTATGCAAACCTTCCAACAGAGCTACAAGCAAAAATATTTGAACCCACTCCTGAAGGGGCACGTAAGGTTGTACTCGCCACAAATATAGCAGAAACTTCGTTAACGATTGATGGGATCAAGTATGTCATTGATCCGGGATTTTCCAAGATGAAATCATATAATCCCCGGACTGGAATGGAGTCATTATTGGTCACTCCCATTTCCAAAGCATCGGCAAATCAACGGGCTGGTAGATCTGGACGAACGGGTCCTGGGAAGTGTTTTCGGTTGTATACGGCATATAATTATTATAATGATTTGGACGACAATACTGTCCCAGAGATACAGCGGACCAACCTGGCAAATGTCGTTCTTAGTCTCAAGAGCCTTGGCATTCATGACTTGCTCAATTTTGATTTCATGGACCCACCACCTGCTGAAGCATTACTTAAAGCCCTGGAACTGCTCTTTGCTTTGAGTGCCTTGAATAAGTTAGGGGAGTTGACAAAAGTGGGTAGAAGAATGGCGGAGTTCCCTCTGGATCCTATGCTATCTAAAGTGATTGTAGCATCGGAGAAATACAAATGCTCTGATGAAATCATATCCATTGCCGCCATGCTTTCTGTTGGAAGCTCAATCTTTTACCGCCCAAAGGACAAACAAGTCCATGTTGACAATGCACGATTGAATTTTCACACTGGGAACGTCGGAGACCATATCGCATTGCTGAAGGTTTGTTTCCTAGTCATTATCTACCTGTAAGCTTAGTCATAGTACGGCCTTAATCCTTTTTCTGCTATAGCATCTTCACTGACATGGTGGGCATGCTTTTTGCTCTTGATAATTCAAATTTGAGGACAACGTATATTGTCCCAACTGTCTTGACAAGAATTCTGGGTTGGGTGGAATGTAAGATACAGTCTAACAAATTGTCATAATTGACCTTCTCACTGCATTTTTACCAGTAATCACAGAATGACATGACGTGTAGTACAAAGTTCTTGAGCTCATGTTCTGAAAGAAGTGATTTACCTTACAGTGTATTGTGTTATTCTTTCAGGTCTACAGTTCCTGGAAAGAAACCAACTACTCAACACAGTGGTGCTATGAGAATTACATCCAGGTGTGTTTTGGTATCTCAGTATACATGTTCTGCTTATACTCTTTTATTTATTTATTTATCATTATCATATAAATATGCTTATGTTTGTTCAGAGCTATCTAGGAACTGCTCTTGTAATGTAGGTTTGTACCAAACTACAAGCCTACCCTTCCTTGTGCCTGCATTGTCAAGACCAGCGCTTGCTAATGATCTTTTCGGATTTATCTATTTGAATTTTCTGATTGATATTTTCTTTTCTTTTTTTTGATCAACAACAAAAGCTTTATTGATAAATCAAAAAAAGGAAGAAAGGATAAGGCATTCTCTTACAGCAGGACAATGAGAATACAAACACAAAAAACTCCTAACAAGCTAAAAAGGGGCAAAAGCCTACATAGCACACACCGCCAACCATCTCTAGCTAACAAAAAAAGTGGGACTCCCTTAAATAAAGAGTTTCCCGATGCCCAAAAGAAGATAAGTGACAAACATGATCCCACAAACAGCCCACCTCCCGGGACTTATCTTCAAACAACCTTTGATTTCGCTCCATCCATAGAACCCAAAAAGTTGCAAAGACGGCACATTACCATAGAATTTTGGCTCTCTTCGATCCTCCAAATGTGCGAAAATCTACTAGGAGTATATGCGCACACTCTTTTGGGGCAACCCACATAGCATTTCCTAAAGAAAACAATCTATGCCATAAATTCAAAGCTATTGGACAATGCAAGAATAAATGATCCACGGATTCCCTGCTCTTACAACACAGAATGCACCACTGAGGATTTAGAAAACGATTGGGTTTCCTTTTCTGCAATGTATCATTTGTCAAAATGTCTCCATGAACCAAGGTCTAGATGAACACCTTTACCTTTAAGGGAGCACAAGCCTTCCAAATTTTTTTGCAAAAAAGAAATTGAGGAACTTGAGAATTATCAATGATGTAATCAAAAAAAGACTTACAAGAAAATATTCCGAACGAATGAAGAGCCCAAACCCTCTTGTCCTCCAAAAGAGGAGATAAAGAAAAGTGATCAATTTTGGATAATAAAGAAAGCAACTGTTAATTCTTAAGAACAAGAAAATATTCCGGACGTATGAAGAGCCCAAACCCTGTTAAATTTTAATTACTGACTTGAGTGAAGATATTTCATACTTGTTTAATTCTTAAGAACAAAGAACTAACAGTGACAGCATACCGACTTGCGTGTTTTTATCCCTTCTTTAATCTTCCTTGATTTTGGTTTTTGTAGATATGTGTGCTAGATACTTATATATGTTTGTGGGCTTCACTTCTCAGGTTCGGAGTATGAAGCGTGCAAGAGACATACGAGATCAATTGGAGGGGCTATTGGAGAGGGTTGAAATTGAACTGACATCAAACTCCAATGATCTAGAAGGAATAAAGAAGGCTATAACAGCAGGTGAAGATATAACAACTCTTTGCGTGTGATGACTAGAAGTTGGAGTACATAGTCATCGTGAATCGTTGTTATCTCCATCATGTTAAGTTTCATTCGTTCATTTTCTTTTTCTATATTAATCTTCAGGCTATTTCCCTCATTCTGCGAGGCTACAGAAGAGTGGATTTTATAAGACAGTTAAGCATCCCCAGACTGTTCATATTCACCCCACCTCTGGTTTAGCACAGGTAAGACATGTATTTGTCATTAATTGGTGTTATTGATAATGATGAGAGGTTCTGACCCCAAATCTATTGCATTGTATCTGTGGTAAATGCAATGGCTTGTATATATTACTTATTTGGATTACTATTTTTATAAATTTTCCAACCTTGAGCAATTGGGATAGATTCTGCTAAGTGATGATAGAACTAAAAAACTTTCTGAATTATGTTGATCTTCATAGATACTAGTTGTATAGCTTTCTTCCAAACTAAGATTAGATAAAAGTCATAAGGTTGACCTATTTAAAGGAAGGTACCCGTGATGTCACCTAGAGGCCTGATTATTTTATTTCACTCAATAAGAACATTACCTCTAGAATTTCTCACACTAATTCTTATTGTGAGAATAAAAGTACTTATTTTTCATTTGTGAAGTCATCAAACAAGAATCAGGATATATTCAAATTTCTTTTCTGCATTCAGATTGGTTTCAATAAGTTTTGTGTTTGCCGTGGAATATTTGATTCCATGACAGTTGTTTCCCCTATGTGGATATAAATCTCAAACCTCATTTTTGTGATTTTTTCCCTCCTTAGATGAAATGGACATGGTTCTAACACACATACACATGAAATGTTTGTGTTTCCTTTTGCCTATTTGGTGTGACCATATGGCAAGAGGGACTTGTTCCTAGTCTTTTATCATGGTATGTCATTCATTAAATGGTTAATTGAATTAGTAAAATTTGCTGATACATGCTAAATTTGACATTTTTTTTTTGATAGATTCTTCTAGATTTGATGTTTAAAGAGGTTGCTTGAGTCTTCTTTCAAAATGCTGATTTGGTAGCTGATTTAGGCATATTAATATCGTATCTCCCATCGCCGACAATGTGGTTTCTGGGACCTCTCAAGCACGAAAAGCTTCTTCAATCCTATCACAACTATTCTCTTATAGGAAAACTAATGTACTTATAATCTACAAATAGATAAAGCAAAACTTGTGTATATGCACAATGCAAATTTTATTGTCCAAGATGTCATGTATGCATGTATGTACGCACTCTTTCATCCATAGAGGCAGCCATGCATGCATGTGGTATTGAATATTGGAAAGTATGACCGATGAAACGAAAGAGTCATGATTGTGCATGAAACTAATAGTTTCTTTCTTTCCCTTGGTAGGTGCTCCCAAGATGGGTTGTTTACCATGAACTGGTTCTGACAACCAAGGAGTACATGCGGCAGGTAAACATCAATTTTGTTTTTGTACCCCTTTCTCAAATTTCTCAGATAATATAAAGTTCCATTGTGCAATGGTTGTGCAGGAGTTATACTTTGTCCATTAGAGACTAATTTGAGAAGTTGAATTACAGGTTACTGAATTAAAACCTGAATGGTTGGTGGAAATAGCTCCTCACTATTATCAGTTGAAGGATGTGGAGGATTGTATGCTCTCTCTCTCTCTCTCTCTCCAAAATGGTGTCTTCTGTTGCTTAAGTTGTGTGAAAACCATTCTTTTTCAAATTAACTCAGTTTGAATTTGCCTTACTTTGAAGTTTGTGGTTTTAAGAAAAGCTGGGATATCTTCCTTGAATATTGCGAAGGATTTAATTTTTTGAAACTGTATTGATGTCCAAAGCTCTATATGCTCTTAAATGAAGTCTTTAAATGTTTTTTTTTTTTAAAAGCTCTGTCACAAAGTTTCACAGAAATTTTATTTTTAGGAGATGTGATTTGCAGCTTTTAAGTTTGAATTTTAAATGGTAGCAACTGTGCATGAGAAGAGGGAAAGAAAAAGAACATACAGTATGGTTATAAAATTTCTTAACAAAACAAAGGGTAGATGCACCCTATTGTAAGTTGGGTAGTAGAAAGGTCTTGACATTTTTAGGGTTCCGAACCTGCTCCGATTCGCTGTGGGACTAGATCACCAATTTCTCCAATATCCTCGTATCGTATGTGCTTAGATTCAGAAGGTGCAGAAAGTAAAACTTGTCAAACAACCCTTTATACAGTCATATTCGATTCATGCACAGGCTTTATTAAAAACGTCATGCATACATAAGATAAAAGTTCTTTAATTGGATAGTACTCTCAAAGCAGTCATGGTATTAGTTTGAGTTGTTGATAGATCTACCTGTTTAATTGCTGAAAAATTAAGAATTTAACTACAGTTATCTGAATTCTTAACTTTGTTATCTAGATGCTTATCTTTTATCAGCCAGTAAGCTGGTATCTAATACCTTTTCTCTGGCAGCTGGATCAAAGAAAATGCCTCGTGGAGAGGGACGTGCATCTTAGGATTGATCATGTGGTCTGCTTGGGGAAGATAGGAGGTGCTGAGAGCAGAGTATCAATTGTAAGCATAAAATTTGTAAATTCTTTGATGTATGTTTACCCCAAATAGTTTTAGTTTTATTGATCTTTTCTGTAGTCTTTGATGATCAATTCATATTTTCTCTTATCATGCTAGGAAATCTTTGTTCTTACATTTTGTGTATAGACCATAAGTCAGCTTCTGAGACGATGTATATACTATATAGTTGGAAAATGTGTCTTTGGCTATGTTACTTGAAACGTAGATTGTTTCGGTACGTGGAATGGGATCGGGAACGTGGCACACTACATTCTGTAAAATGTGATACGATAGAGGTAGACTTGTTTAGATTACACTATTGAAATTTAAGGTAATTTTAGAATAATTTTCTTTTGACAATTAGATATCTAATAAATTGTTGCTTTTCTCTTCCAAATTAATCATGTTACAACACGTTTATTATATTAGATTTGTTTTTCCGCCTAAGATAACTTTTAAGATTTATATTGGAAAATATTTATGGAATCGCTTTGAATAGCTAAATTCACCGTTTTGGAAGGGAAGCATACCATTTGTTGAAAAATGCATTCCCAAACATAAATCACTAGGCTATTAGTGTTTTCTAGTAACATTGTTCTTTTGACTTGCTCGTTTGACACATTTTGGGGTGTTAATATTCCCAACAATATGCAAATTAGCTAAATTTTGGTTTAGGACTATTAATCCAATGGATAATTAATCCAACAAATTTGTAGGATTATTAGTAATGGGGTAGGGGTGGGATAGTTAATACCACACTAATTTGATAGGATTATTAATACCTCACTATTAGTATTGTGAATCAAACATGGCCTTAGTGTTTTCTAGTAACATTGTTCTTTTGACTTGCTCGTTTGACACATTTTGGGGTGTTAATATTCCCAACAATATGCAAATTAGCTAAACAGAGTAAAGGAATAGTTCCCATTTGAATTTGGAATATGGTTTGTGTATTTTTCTGTTTTTGTAAATTTCATTGGATCCTCCGAGTTATTGCTAACATCTGTTGCGCGTGATTTGTTTGTTATGAAGGCGTCTTCAGCTTAGCATGTTTGATTCCTCTGAAGCCGGGATAGTTGTCTCACTCGGGTTTTACGTAATGGTCTTTCGCCCAATTTTGGTGATGCCGTTGTTGCAAGCAATGGCATTTTGTTGATCCAAGCATGCAATTGTGGTTGCTCGACATCAACTGTGGCTGACTTGAATTTGTCAGTCTCAAGTGAAACTAAGTTGAGCTTGAGCTTGTTTGGAGGGGGCTTTGGGCAGGAGCCAATCCCTAAAATAGCCTAGAATCATAGAGTCCACTGTTCATGCTGATTGTGCCAAGTGGGAAGAATTTACATAGCTTAGACCTTAGGGTTTCATTAAAAATGTGAAAAATTTTCCTCTTCATTTTCATTCATTTTTGTATATATGCATAATGTATGTAGTGTTTGGAGATTGAGGCAGTGTAGAGAGGAGAGTGGAAATAGAGAAACTTTTCATTGCAAAAATTGAGGAAATCAAAAGGTACATGTTTAGGGTATTTGTGTTCATGAATTGCCCCTCTCTCTCTCTCTCTCTCTCTCTCTCTATGTTTTGCTAATCAGTTAAATTAGTTGAAAACTATGTTCCCAATGTAGCCACTATTTATTATCCAGTGTATGGTTCCAAATACTAAAAGCATGGCTATATTTGTTTAGAGTTATGAGATAAAAAATAGTTTAAATAATTTCAAAAATGATGGATTATCAAAAAGTTAGGGAAGGATGTTTTTAATTTCTAATTTATGATTGTCAAATTTTAATTACAAAAAGATATATTAAACAGCCTCATTTATGAATTTTCGTTGTTCAACTCTTGATAACATGAAAAATGAACCTTTTTATCAATTTTTTGTGCCACATTTTACTTTTGTTCTTGAAAAAAAGAAAATAAAAAGTTTATGAAGTGCTCTTCAACGTGTAGTTTTTATTACATTGAGCAACATTATAACCAAAAAAAAAATTCTACACGGCGTCTTGAATTAACCATTTTTCTAACGTTCCTTTTGACTTGTCACAAGAAGAACATAGTCGAGGATTGACCCCGGAGTCTATAGAGAGAGTGGTCTTTCTCAACCAAAAACTTTTTTTGAGTAATGGTCTTTTGCCAAATTTTGGTGACCCTTTTGAACAAAATGCAAGCTAATACTAGTATGGACTTGGTAAATATGCAACTTGGATTGCTTCAAATAACTCCCACCGACTTGCTTGACTTTACTGGTTTAGGGATTTGACAAAATTGGATAAACTAAATCAAGATTTGATCATGTTGAGAGTGAGGTTTGGGCTTGACCGACTCAACCAAACAAACCAAAAATTGAATAGTCCACTGTTCATGATGTCTATATGTGTGGACATCTCTTTTGGGCCTCAAGGCTTTGTTTGGACATAAAATAACTTCTTTCTTTTTTGAACTATTGGGTCCATTGGCACTGTAAAAGTCTCAATAAATGATTTCTCTCCAAACCTCAAAAGCTAAAGCACAAAAAAGTGATCAATCAACCAAAGTCTTAAAAAACAAACCTTTTGAACTATTCTTATCACTATACCAATGCATGTTTACACTGTTAAATTTCGCATCTTTTGGTTTCCACTGATAGATGAGTAAACAAACACAAGTATATTATACCAAAGAAAAGCTTAATAACAAACAAAGACAACCAACATCAAGAAAAGAAAATTTTCAAAGAATCAAACACTTCCTCTTAACATTGTTTAGGCCTCTATGCCATGGCAGGCATGTCCTTGAGCCATGGATCCAACGGCTTCCACATCGAGTGCACAATAAATCCGATCTCCCTCAACTTCGCAACATCCACAACGTTCCGGCCATCAAACACGAATGCAGGCTTTTGCATATTATCAAAAATCTTCTTGAAATCGAGCGTTTTGAATTCGTCCCATTCAGTTAGAATGCATAGCTCGTGAGCATCTTTTGTTGCTTCGTAAGCGTCCCATGTTACACTCACTTCCTTTACCGAGGTAGGGCTCATTGGTTGCATATGAACCAAATGGTCCCAATCGAATTTATTCATTGACAAGTCCTTATGCATTTGATCTTCAGTGACTTGAGGGTCGTATATGCTCAACCGGGCCTTATCACTCAACAATCCCTTGCACACATCGATTGCAGGGGTTTCTCTCATGTCACCGGTGTCTTTCTTAAAGGCAAACCCTAGTATAGCGATTTTCTTACCCGATATTGTGTTGAACATGGATGAAACAACCCGGTTCAGAAACCTGCTCTTTTGGTAATCGTTCACCTTAATGACTTGTTTCCAATAATTTGCGACTTCAGAGAGACCATAGCACTCGCAAATGTAAGCCAAGTTGAGAATGTCCTTTTGAAAACATGATCCACCAAAACCAACACTTGAATTTAGAAATTTGGGTCCAATTCTAGTATCCATACCAATAGCATGGGAAACCTGGGCAACATCAGCGCCAGTTGCCTCACAAAGCGCTGACATGGCATTGACAGAAGATATTCGTTGAGCTAGAAAGGCATTGGCGGCTAGCTTCGACAGCTCAGCTGACCAAAGATTGGTACATATTATCCTCTCCTCGAGAACCCAATGGGTATACACATTTTTCAATGTCTGGATCGCCTTCTGCCCATTAGGGTTCTCTCTCCCCCCAATGAGAACCCTGTCAGGGCAAAGGAGATCCCAGATTGCAGTCCCCTCTGCAAGAAATTCCGGATTTGAGAGAATCTGATAATTAATGCCCTTACTATTATGAGTCAAGATTCTCTCAATTGCCTCTGCTGTTTTCACAGGGACTGTCGATTTCTCAACAACAATCTTATTAGATTTTGACACGTCAGCAATCATCTTAGCCGCACTTTCCCAATATGTTAGGTCTGCCGCCTTACCGGCCCGGAGGCCATGGGTTTTAGTCGGAGTATTGACGAAGACAAATATTATGTCGGCCTCTGACACGTGTTTTTCGACATCCGTGCTGAAGAAGAGATTTTTTCCCCTACATTGCTTCACCGCGTTATCGAGATTAGGTTCGTAGATGGGTAGTTGATCACTGTTCCAGGCATTGATCTGAGCAACCGAGATGTCCACGACAACTACTTCAATTGAAGGGCACTTTAGGGCAATAACTGCCATGGTTGGTCCTCCAACATAACCAGCTCCAATGCAGCAGATTTTCACCTTTTTTTTTGTTTTTTGGCTATCAAGATCAAGATAGAAAGGACATGTTAGTTTTGGTGTGAATACCATTTTGAAACTTCGTTACACTTTTTTTTAATTCTAAAATTGTTGAATATATACATATATTTGGTATTAAAGACATGGAAAGGTAATCCAGCAAAACTACCTACAAGAGACTGTAATGAATTATTGCACTTAAAATTGGATTTGGATCCAATTGCCACAGAAACAAATTTATATTAAGAAAAAAAAAAAAAAAAAAACTTTTGACAGGTTAGTTTGCAAATCACATGATTCACATCTTTACCAGAACATAATAATAAGAAGAATAAGAATAAAATAATATCCTGAAAGCGATGGAAATAAGGCTTCTATTACATTTTCCTAAGAAACAAACAGAACCAAATGCTAATTTTCCTAAGAAGAATAGCAAGATGTGAAAAATGGTAACTGATCAATTGAAGTTGAAGTTGAAGTTGAAAAATGGCATGCATAACACATTTATAGCAACCTAGCATCAATTATTGATATTTTATCCGTTTAATTTTTTGCATGAATACTTTATACAACACGAACGGTACAAATTATATAAATGGGTCAAAGATGAGACTACCAAGCCTAACATCACATCTCCAATATATGCTCAACTCGAGAGAATCTATTTCTCATTTGTGAAAATGAAACAAAGAAGTGATAATTTGAAATCATGTAAAAAACAAAAAAACCACATAAGGGTACATTCAAAATTGAAGTTAAGAGACCATAATTACCTTAAATGACTTCCCAATTTGGCCTCAAAACAAGACAAGAAAGCACAAAGAATATGAGCTTTGCAATACAAAATAGGCCTAAGTAAGAGCTTTTTGTCCTCGACATGGAAAGAGAGCTAAGACCTAGACCTATTTATATATACATCTCTAGAATCTAACAAAAGCCCTTTGGAGTCTCTCCCAAACTAAGCAAAGTGCGAAAAGTCATATATTTTAGAAGCTTCTGATGCTGGTCTTGTGACATCTCTATTCATTGAAAACATTGCTTCCTACTTTTAAATCAGGGACGGATTCAGGATTATGACTTTGGGAGGGTCGAAGTACGTTTAACTTCTAATCAATAAAATTTAAAATTCAATACCAATTTCTACTAACATGAAAAAAAAATCAATAATGCTACGATAAAATATTGAACTATATATTCCTTGTCAACATAGTTGAGTATCAAAAGATGATCATACAATCGAGAATATTTTTTTGCCCATATTCACTTACAAAAAGTAGTAACTATTTCTACATGCATTTATTTACTAAAATTAGGCATCTTCAATTAAGCTCGACACTCTTTCATAATATCAAAAGCATGAATGATAGAGTCTACATCAAACCCTCTAGCAATATCTTTTTTAATGTACGTAATCAAATAACTAGCCAGAAAGTCATCTTCCATCATATTCCTAAAAGTCATAAAATATATGGCAGCACAAAATAACATTTAGATTTTTATCTAAAATCTTAGAGGAAATCAACAAATCATAACCTAAAAGCCTATTCAATTATCAAGAAATCACACAACGTAGTGCCTACCAATTACAATAAATTATAGTATTAAAAAAAAATTCACAATATTTAGTTAACAATTGTATCAATAACAATTATCAGATATTCATCGCAACTCCTGGCTTCTCCACCCTATGCCAGCCTCTCTGCCACAATTTCACCCAAAAAACAACCAGCTTGCATTGGCCCCACATTGTCATTAAATTATTATTTATTTTTAAAAAAATTCAAAATCAATTACTAACCCAGATAATGTTAGAGGTGGTGGGTTTTGATGTGTGTGTTGAAGAGTGTATGTAAATTTATTTTTTCGATTGGCATAGTAAAATAAAAGAGTGTTTGGAGAGAGGAGCGAAATCTATTGACAGTGGGGGTGTAATTGTGGATTATGTGATATAGGAAATTGGGGATTTGGGTTGTCAAGTTTGGGATACCAATACTGAAACTTGGGTTGAAGATTTCTAGTTGTCTGCAGGCTTATGGGTGACCAATAACAAATTAATGGCAAAATAATTGCATCATTCAGGCCAAGTTTGGCATCTTCAAAAAAATCTAAAAAGTCAAAAAGCCACTATCCTATTTAAGTCACATCATCTTATTTAAGTCACATCATATCTCTATCACATCACTTCAAACCCAACCCATATTTAATAAAAAGTCAAAAAGTGTACTTATTTAGAACACCCCAAACAACCCTTCAGTCTAAAATCACAGTCAATCATAATATTCAGTCTAAAAACAGAATAATTACATTGAAACTGAAGGGATATCAGATAACTTACCAGTGAGAGTCCACGGTTCCATCGTCCACACCGACCAGCTCTGACGAAGTTCGACGACAAAGTTTCTCCGTTTCTTTCCTCATCTCTTCGCTCCTCGCTTCTCTTTCGAAGCGCAACAAATCTCTCAGATCAGTTGTTTTCTTTTCTTTTTTTAATCTTAGTGCTTTGTTTGAACAAGCTTCTCCAACAAGCCTTATAGTTTATATATTTGTAAAAATTTCATATTTTACACTTTGACCTATTAAAGTTTCTAAAATTTTGCTTTCATCTTGACCTAATTTAAAAAATACATATACATGAAATTTAAAATAGATTAGTATATATGTCAACTAATTCCAAAAAAAAAAAAAATCCAAATAGTTTAAAAAATTGAGGGGGCTACTTTGTAATCTTTTGAAATTATTTTAAAAAAATTTGGAAATGTGAACTCCTATAATTTTAAATTATTTCAAAATTTCTAATATAATATATAATATTTTTCAAATTTTTGGAGTGCGGCCGCCCCCTCCACCTCCCTAGATCCATCCTTGCTTTCAATGACAATTCAACAACTCTTTTTAAATAAAAGATTTTTCTAATAACAATTCTAAGAATAATTTTTAATAAACATAAAATGTCAAAATATTTATGATTTTGAAATATTTTTCACATATATCACATGATACAGTTATATATCTTTATGCATTTTTTACACATTTTACTTTTTGACATATTTTATAACACTAATAACAGTTGTTAAGGCTGTTTTTAATAATTTCCTTAAATAAATCAGTCTTAAAAGAAACAAAAGTACCATTTTCATTAAAGTTAATGAAATGTCAGTTTTGTCAATACAAAGGAGGTGATTCATTAATTAATTTATCAAATATTATAAAACAATCATGTTACATCACATATATATAGCTGACTTATATGAGAGAAGAACCACTATTGTTATTATTTTATTTTATTATATATATATATATATATATATATATAAAGCACTATTTAACATGATTTCTTGGTACATTGGGCTCTGCTAACTCATTGGTTAAGAGGGCCTACACTTGACTAAAAAGGTAGGGTGCCTTTATATTTGTTTGCCTCTTTGTTAATTTGTGTGTAATTTTCTTACCACACTGTCCGCTTAGTAATCAATTGGAGAGCACCGGTAGAATAGATGGCTTCAGCAAACCTGTAACCGAAAGAAAAGGCTCCGGCGGTGGCTCTTCCACCCGGGGGCACTCCGACGATCAAGTCAGTATATCTCTCAAAGACAAATCAAGCGCTAAACTCACCAGTTTAAGCATAAAACTGTGTACCTTAGACCCACGGGAGTGCCTCTCTTTTATAGTTTACTCAATCCTAGTCCTACTAGAAGCTTGACTTCTATGGACTCCAATTTAGTACTTACTTTGGACTCCTCAAGAGATAAAGATAAACTCCCTAAGAGCTTCATCCTTATCTCAGCAAAGTCTTCTCTTTACTCTAGGAATCTTGTCCCTTTTCCGCTTATCTCGGATTCCGATATCTTCGGAGATCACCTCGTCCTTGCCTAGGTAACCTCGGCATAACTACCAGGACACGTGGCACCTCGGCTGACACGTCGGCATCACCATGCCACGTGTCGGTATTCAAAAAATACATCCCCACAACTGCCCCCTAGGTTCTATTACCTCGACATTCTGGGGTGATGGAATCTATATCTGTATTTTCTTCCAGTACCTCGGCGTAAAAACTCTTCGGCCGAGATCATTCATTTTAGGCGGACATGCCTTCATCAGAGAACAAGAACTCAAACGAACTCCCCCACGCGCATGAGCTGTCATGCACCTCTTCTCAACCGTTTCCCTTACGCGTCTTTACCTTATTGGTCCGTGCCTGCGACGCGCTTATTAGTCGTCTTTAATCTATCTGCGCCGTCTGACGCATACGTTCCTCCAGGCGCAATAAATGCCTTGTTTTGCCGCCGTTTCAAGTTTTTGATAAAACTTTACTCTCTTCTTCGTTTCTTTACTTTTGTGCTTGATTTTCTAGTTTTCTCTCTCTCTTAAACTTTCCCAAATCCGCTATTACTCTAGCTTCAAGCTCTGCAACCGTCTTCATTCTTCCATTTCAGCGAAATTTTCGCCGTTCCGTCGTGTTTGTAACTGTTGCCTTATCTCGACGACTTTCATTCCGGCTTCATTTGTTCTGGTAAGCCTCTGTTCCTTTCACTCCCAATTTTTCCTATGTGCTTTTTACTTACTGCCATTATTGCTCTGTACAAACTTTTGTTTTGCTGAACTATTTATCTGGATGCGTCTATTCCATGATTGTACTAATATTTTGAACACTTGCACTATTGCAACACTTTTCTTGCCACTGTTCTTGACCTTTTACTTCTGTATTTCTTTCGCTTCTGAGAACCATACCTTTGTTCTTTGATTCTGAAACGTCGTTCTTTGTTTCTTGTTTTCTAGATTTCTGCCTTTAATTTTTGCCTTCATAGATTTAGGTTTGGGCTTTGTTTATAGAACCTTCAATTTTTAGGGAAAACTGAAACAATCCTTACCAGTATATACCTAGGGTTTCGCCGAGGTCCCGATAACCCCCTAAGAGCACATTCTTTCTGAAATCTAGCCTTCTGTCTTTAGGCCGACGTTATGGGTATGTGGAGACATAGGGTTGATACCTCGACCAAACTTGAGTACTTTAGGCAGGAGTTCTCCGTCCTTGCCGATGTCTGCCTGAAACTGGCTGGGGATGATGACTCCATCATGCC